AACAACAACAGGGGCGCCTGGGTGGTGCAGTCGGTTAAGCGTCCGACTTCAGCCAGGTCACAATCTCGCGGTCCGGGAGTTCGAGCCCCGTGTCGGGCTCTGGGCTGATGGCTCAGAGCCTGGAGCCTGTTTCCGATTCTGTGTCTCCCTCTGTCTCTGCCCCTCCCCCGTTCATGCTCTGTCTCTCTCTGTCCCAAAAATAAATAAACGTTGAAAAAAAAATTAAAAAAAAAACACAACAAAAAAATGACTTCCTAGCACACAGAATTCTTGGGCTTTGGCTGGACAGCTTATTTGGTGACTCTTAGTTCAACACAAATCATGCAAAGGATACTCTTCCAATCAGCAAAAAATTAGAATGTAAATTAGAACTATACTGAAAATATTACCCAATAAAAGGTTATTTGCAATGAGAATGCAATAAACAGTTTTCAGCAATGGTGAAAACATTGGGGAAAAACAGACCTTCACCAACATTTGAAATCTATTTTCTGCTAAAATTACCCATTTTCAGGAAGACAGCCAATTCTTTAGGTAGACACCACTTCCACCCAAATTCCGCTATCACAACTTGTCATTTTGCCTGCATATCCATCTAATTCCAGTAGTACCTCTGTCCACCCTCCCTGTAGATGTTTATGTTTTGGGGTTCTAGAGGACTGAGTCCTTATGGAATCGTCTCAGAGGTACCCTGGTCCCCAGATGAGTTAATGATAGGGAACAAGTTTCCAGTTGTCATTCAGCAACCACCCACAAGTCTGGATGCTGTAGTCATTTCACCTGCCAAATATGTAACTGTTAAAATTCTGTTTGCCCAGTCACCTCATGATGAGGCTGGGAAATCTGTCAATATTCAGTTTATCATTTATGATTGCCATAGTGTAATAATAAACACTTACTAGGCGTGTAGCATAGTACAGTGAGGGAAGCTGCAACTGGAGTCCCTCCTGGGGAGTAAAAATATTGCTGTCGTCATCACTTCTGCTACCCATACCAGTTGGTCATATCTGTGGCCAGGAGCAGATTGTTTAAGAGTGGTTTACCACTAAAGATAGGCAGGGAGAGAAAAAACGGTAAGTCTGGTCTAGGATAACAGAATCAATGCCAAATTACTGGTCTTTTTGCCCCAGCTATTGATCTCCGAGTCATCTTTGAATCTAGTTATAGGCTGTCCCAGAGCCCAGAATCTATATTTCAACCTAGTGATGTGATCAGTACATGGAATGAAATGGACTGATAATGGAGAAAAATACTATCCCAATTTAACAGACTTGGGATAATAACATCAACAAGCTAAGTCAAATTAACATGAAAAATGTTCATCTATAATGCATCTCAGACAAATTATGGAGTTATTCCATCCATCCTCAAAGGATAAATCCTACATAGGTATGGTAGTTCAAGTGAATGACCAATAATGATTCCCAAGGCAACACACAAAGCAGCTACATGAAACACAGTTGACATCTCTTGACTTGCAAATTCTCCTACTTAACAACTGTCACCATCAATTATTTCAATAACAAATAATACAGGTTTTCTCCAAAAATTATCTTGCTAAGAGTAGAAACAAGAAAATGGTTTCAAACCCTGGGCAAAGAAAGGCAGATCTTTTTCCTTAATACTCCCATTCTGTTTTAACATTTGGCAATGAGCCCAGAAAACTTTCAAAAAGCAGATTATCCATATATTCTTATGAGCTCAAATGAGTTTTACAGATACAGACAGTTAACATTTTAGGTAAACTAGGATAAAATCCTACTGATATTCATCACCGTTTTGCAGATTATAGATGCATCAGTATGGTTCATTAAATTCCCTCTTAAGAAAAAGAAAACACACACACACACAAACCACCATGCCTTTGTTCACAGATGTGAACCAATTCAATATGAGACACCAACTTTGTAAGACAATAAACGAGCAAGAGGTTGGATACACAGAGAGATGCCCCCATATTACAACACACACAGATTACTCCTCTTCACTACGAAAGTGCTTTAAGCTAGAAGGGCAAAACAGCAAAATGAGAAAAACATTTCTCTTGGCAGAAGGATGAGAAAATTCTATTCCAAAAGATGTTCACATTTTCTTTCATTTTACAAACGAAGGAAGGAGATATTTTGCAGATTTTGTAAATTCTATTGTAAATTCAGGTAAAGAGGCTGGTACAGAACAGTACTGTCCAATAGAACTATGACGCAAGCCATACATGTAATTGAACATTTTATAGTGGCCACCTTAAGAAAAAGTGAAATTAATTTTAATATTTAATTTATCCAAATATCCAAAATATTATTTAAAAATGTAATCAATCTAAAAATATGATAGTTTACATTCTTTTTTTCATACTAAGTCTTCTAGTATGCCCAGGTCCTTAGTCTATTAAAAATGCTACCTACTGGTCAGCAGAAGCCTCAGAAGACAAGACTACATTGTAATTTCTTGTTCTTAATACCCACCAGTTTATACACACAAAAACAAGATATACAGACAACACACTGGGTTATATTCACAGGATACAGATCTATCTCATTCAGCTTAAGGATTATTTAATTATGAGTACAGGTTCGAAAACAATCTCCTGTGACTTAAATAAACCTTTCTAATGTCCTTTTAAGTATAACATCATTTTGGCCTAGTGTTAAGTCTCTATATGTTGGTATACCAAGGAACTGTGCATATATAAATATGCAGTCTATATAAAGATTTCCTTTTGATAAAATCTTGTCACAGAAAACCAAATATGACATTAATTTGCTACCAAATAACTAGAATTGATGAGCCTTAAAATAGCTTCAGAGAAAGAACGCTGCTAGAGCATAATAGTGGTTTCCAAGGTATGTCTTCTCTTGGCTAATATGTTGACAAGCTGAAAATTAGCACACAATCAGAACACACAATATATACATTTAGCTTTATTTTTTCCAAATAGAATAAAATTTCACATGCTTTTCATACTTCTGTAAATAGCTTCAGAAGATTTTTCTACTCTAAATATAGTTTCTCTTTAATAGTTAAGTGTTAACTGATAAAAGGTAAGTATAAAGAACTTTTAAAAACAATTAAAAACAGAACACAATAGGAAAAAGGGTAAGAGACATGAAGAAGAATTTCCAAATTCCTACTTAGGAATTACCATAATAAAACATGTTCAACTTATTAGTAATCAAATATGTGCAAAACGAAACCACAATGAGATACCATTTTACACTTTCAGCTTGTCAAAAATTTGATTCTGATCATCCCAAACACTGGCAATAATCTCGAATACTGAAAATTCTAGGATACCAGTGAAAGTGTAAGTTGGTACCATGACCTTGGCAAACAATTTGGCCTTATCTATTAGAGTTGATAATGTGCTTTATTGTACGACACAGCAATTCTACTCAAGGTAATACATTCACTCTTGGGTATGTGCACCAGAAGTCATAAAAAAGAATGCTCCACTGCCTTTTTCTTTTTCAAAGAAAGATGTAGTTCAATATCCAGCAACAGGGAAAAATTTTGATACAGTCATACAACGAAGTAATACATAGCAGTGAAAATAAACAGGATACTTGTTACAAAATGATAATGCCCAATTGCAATGAACATACAAATGACAGAAGAATACAGTTTAATGCCATTTATTATTATTTAAAGGTATATACATGTAGGTAAAATGATAAAGGACAGAAAGGCTATGATCAACAGAGCTCAGGACAGGGGACCCACTCTCAAAACAGGGATGGGATAGGGCCAGAGAAGAGCACACAGTGCCTCAAAGGAGAGGCAATGAGCTGGTGGCAGGCACACATGGGTTTTTTTATTACTCTTTATGTTTGTGTGTGTGTGTGTGTGTGTGTGTGTGTGTGTGTGTGTGTGTTCTATTGCAGGAAATAATTTTTAAACCGGAAAGCATTCTAACAAACAAAAAAAATTGCACGTAATGTTTCAGAAGACAAACTGTCATCTGGAGCGCCATAAACTGACCTTGACTCTATCATTCACCACTTGTAGTAACTGCTGCTCTTGCTTCTCTGTTTCTCTCCTCCTTCAGGATGGAGACAGATAGTGCCACCCAGATAGTGCCCATTACATTCCAGGGGCTCAGCAAATGCTGATTGAAAGAATGACCAAACTAACCTGACCTGCATTTCTAGGAAGACCAGGGAAACGGAAATGTGGGCTACAAGTGGGCAGTGATTACTTTGGCTTATTTGTTTTCACAATTTAGCACATTTCCTGCAAACTGACAGCCTGTTCTCTTGTATCTTCTCCTTCACCCTCCTTCTGTCTTGGTGTTTAAGGTTTGAAATAGCTCAGAGATGAGATCAGCCTCAGACTTTGCCTTCAGAATGCTTTCTTCTGCTTTCAGAGAGGGCTGTATCAGAGGGGGCCGTGCTATTTAAGGGTTGCAGCAACACTGTACTTGGTTTTTTGCACCCAATTAAGGGAACAAATCCACCAATCCAGCTTCAGTGTATGCAGGAAACCACAGTCATCTGTTGGAACCAACCAAGGGAGCAAGAGATTTAATGCCGTCCTGGGTCACTGTTGGAGACGATTCTGTGATCACCTCCCAACACAAACACACAGAGGACCACAAACATGAATGTCTCCTCGAATGGTCAGATGATCCATCTGCATTTTCCCAAGTAACCCACAGCATTCAGGTATGAGATTCACAAATGGGGGTAGAAATATAGCATCCCAACAAAACAGGAAGTCTTCAACCAAATACAGAACTAAAATTAGAAAAGGTATAAGAAATGGTAGGGAAGGGGTGCCTGGGTGGCTCAGTCGGTGGAGCGTCCAACTTTGGCTCAGGTCATGAACTCGTGGTTCATGAGTTCAAGCTCTGCATCACGTCAGGCTCTGTGCTGACAGCTCAGAGCCTGGAGCCTGCTTCTGTGTCTCCCTCTCTCTCTGCCCTTCCCCCACTCACACTCACTCTCTCTCTCTCTCTCTCAAAAAATGAATAAACATTAAAAAAATGGTAGGGAATAAACACTCCATTTTCAGAATACATGTTTCCTGGAATTTATTCCTTTTTAATGCTGAATAGAAAATCTGAGATTTCACCAATGCCTTTAGAGACAAACACATACACACTGAAATCTAAAAACAATAATTATGCAGATCAAAGTAGGCCCTGACACTTAAGAAAAGCTGTTAAATGAAAAGCATTTCTAGAAAAAGCAAAATGCTATGTAGCAAAATCAAATTAAAATAAAAAAACAGAAAGAGGCTTTGGTACCTTTAAATAACAGAGGACAAAAATAAGTTTAGTTCATTATTAAATTCATGTAATATAAAAACATCTAGGTGTTTGAAGGAATCTATAAAACAGAAACAAATCTAAAGTGTATCAGAGCCTGAGAGACAAAAAAAAAATCTTCCTTTTATCCTCTTTGATTTTAATAGAACACCAGAATTTGGAAGAATTTATTTTCCCAACTAAATTTTCTTTTGGTCTGCATATACCTAGCAGGATGGCACTCTGTATTTGATCTAATTTTAAAATGGAATTTTATTTTTAGCAGCACATTTCCTTTGTCCCAATAAGCCTACTACAGGAAATAAAAATTGTCTTGAAATGCCTTTGATACTACATCTATGTCTCCAATATTCCCACCTAGTTCTTTCCTAGGTTTTCAAGACTGTGAATGTTCAAATCTAAAGGCAGTTAGTTAAAGAAGGGAACAAGAATCATTACATGTTTGGAATTTAGCTGGTAAAACAGTACAGTAAAGAAACAATATTCTCTGAATACAATGTGGTCCCAGAAGGCAATATGTCATTACTCTGCAGAGCCCAAGTATTGCGGTAAATGCCATACCGTGTGCTTTTACCTCACTCATAACAAGTACAATACCAGCCAGGACTGGTCTCTCCTAGTTCTGTGCTGATTAAAAAAAAAAAAAAAAAGGGCGGGGTGAGCATTAGACGACGTGTAACTGGTAGCAATTTAGCACTACTATCCATCTAGTCCGTTCAGGAGAGCCATTCTGGTCCTACTGTGACCACAGTAATTCAAAAGTTTCAAGATGAACAAACGTGAGTAGCTGTCTTAGTCTAGCAAATATCATGTTGATCCCACAACCCCAGAATTTCCCTCAATCTTACCAAGTTGGTTCTTAGCACTCACTGGGAAGAGAAGACTAATGTAAGTTAGCTCACTGTAGCATTAAACTTTGAAAATTGTTGATATCTGAAAATGAAAGTCTAGGTCTTATCAGAAGACTCATTTACTCAAACACAGTATCCAGTTGAAAAAAAAGTTTCCTGGATAGTCCCTGGGATTTAGCAAATGGAATATGACCTGGAACTTATTTAATAATGCCAACTAAACAGTAATACCCATAATTTCACAACAGCTTTCCTTGGAGAGAAAATCGTGGATCATGTATTTGTTCTAGTCAAGTAGAAATCTGTGGCATGCTTTTCTTCTGGTTGTAGTCCTGGGCTGCAAATCTCAGGCTGGGATTTCAGCTTTAGCATTCAACAAGTCCTTTAGAGTAGTCCACATTTAGTTAGTTGGAGGATGAAACAACACATGTGACAGGGCTTTCTTCTATTCTTTCAATTTCTTACATCCTGCTCAGAATCTGACCAACAAGTCCTGCATTGGGATGCTTAGAACAGCAGGATATTTTAGGCAGCCCTCTTGGAATTTATCCTATTTAAGACTGCTCATGTTTGGCAATTAAAAACTCTAAAGACTGTAAGCAGGGATAAGGATGGAGAAAAGCAGCCTCTGCCCTAACGGAGTAGACGTGTTCAGCATCCACTCCAAACGGAGTAGAGATTTTACATGCCAAGTACAATTCAGAGCTATTCTCTGACAGCCTCTTTCTCATATACACTGCTCTGAAAGCCCACTGGAAGCCATATATGGAATGAGAACATGTATCTACATTACTCTGAAAAATCTGGGACCGTACATTGGTCAGATATGTGAGCAAAGCTAGAGGTTCAATGAAAAGCAACACAGGAAAAAAATTAAACTGTACCACAATATTAGTATCTTTTAGTAAACCTCATCAAGGGTTCACAAAATATATCCAACCAAGATCTTCCTTTTCTCAAAAAAATATAATCCATTCACAAAATAGAATAAGCAGCTATTAGTTAGGGAAGCTGCATTTAAAAATATGCTATGTATGCATAAATAAGTTGCTAGAGCTGAAAATCCCTTCAGATAGGAGTCAGGTAATTTCCCTATAAATTTACTATCTAATTAATTTGTACACCTTCTAAAATATACCTTTTAAGCTGTCTTATATATTTAAATGAAATTTTTCTCTTGCAAGAGATAAAGAAGCCTATCTTTTACAAAATAGCAACTATTTTTATCCCTGTAACTTGGTCCCGATCACACATAGTTGCAGCAGTGATTTTTGGAAACATCTGTAGGAATTTGGAGGTATGGAAATAAGTGTCCATCACCAAAGGCGGCCAGAACATCTAACTTTTTCTATAGGTGCTATTACAAAGCACCAGAATCGTGACATTTGTGATTTTGCAGCAAATTTTTCAGCTCTTTGTCAACCAGCAAATCTTTCTTTCTGATCAAAAGATTTCTAATAGCCTGGCAAACTAATTTCGAGGATACAATCCAGGCAGCTTAAAGAGAGGCCAGTCTGAACAATACTGGCATCAAATACAGCCCAGGGCAGATCCAACATTTTCTCTCCAGTGGTCCCACCCACTTATTTTTCAGTCATTAAGGAAGCACACCTGTAACAGGTAAAATCTAGTACCTCCAGGTGAATGAGGCAGTTGCAGGCAATTCTGAAAATAACAAAAAACCCACCACAGTCCTGATTTGGTTTTAAGCAATCATGCAATCCCCCATTATACCCATGTCTTCCTAAAACACCTCTCCATGGCAAGCAAAGTTACTGATGATGCATGTGGCTTTAGTCACAGTGATGCATTAGGTAAGCAGGTGTGTGCTGAGTACCAGGGGGTGCTCCAAAATGCATCTCCGTCATCTTCCACTTGTCTTCTCTAAGATTCTGTCTATTAATTAAAAAAAAGAAAGAAAAAAGTCAGTTATTGCATTGGGTTGACAAGAAAATTAACGCTGGCAATGACATTTTAAATGTCAGGAATGGCGATGTTGGAAATCATAATAATCACCCCCATGTGATTGAGGAATGCAAATCCTAGGATTCAGGATCAGCACAGATTTATGATATCCCACCGACCTCCCACATATAAAAGTGGAAAGAAGCCACATGTTTCCAGAGACTGCCGAGACTGCAGAGGCACTGTTCCACTCGTACCCAGGTGAGTGGGGCGTGCATGGGTCCTCCACTCAGGGGGCCTGCAGAGGGCGACCATAGCTGAAGAACAGCACCAGCATGGCCAAAATATGCTGCCGCCCCAACTCCCCAAGTGCCACCTCTGGCCCTCCCCCCGTGACAGCCTTATGTTTCAACCACAACACAGACACCTGGCATAAGGCGGCTTCCGAGACCTGCTCTAGGGAGCTGGGGCTGCTCAGTGCCCAGGATTTAGTAGTTATGACATATTTTGAGGATCACCCCTGAATAGCAGGGATCCCAAAGCAGAAACTTCTCCAGGCCCTGCCTTGAGTCTATTTAAACAAGAAACCTGATGGTGTTCTACCCGAAAATTATTGGTGAAATGGCCTCCTTTTCTCCTAGGTACCATCTTAAGAAGTTGTGACGTTCTTTTCCTATCATCTCTCTTCTCTGTCACTGTGTAAGAACAATCACAGATGCTAACGGTGTTTTTATACGTTCCTTGGCAGGCTTTCTAGCCCTATTGTTTATGTACATATACTGCAGAGAGGGTAGGGAAGGAAAGGAGAAAAGAGGGCTTCCACCTTTTAGTACATTCTACCTGTGAATGCTCTGTCTAGGCCTTTGAGTGTGGACTGTGGACTGAGTGTGGACTGTGGACTGAGTGTGTACTACTATCAAGGAAAAAAAAAAAGGAGGCACCTGGGTGGCTTAAGTGTCAGACTTAGGCTCACATCATGATTTTGCAGCTCGTGAGTTCGAGCCCCGCGTCGGGCTCTGTGCTGACAGCTCAGAGCCTGGAGCCTGCTTCGGATTCTGTGTCTCCCTCTCTCTCTGCCCCTCCCCTGCTCACACTCTGTCTCTGTCTCTGTCTCTCTCTGTCAAAAATAAACATTAAAAAAAATTTTTTTAAATAAGTAGGAAGGGGGAAAAGGTTGAATTACTCTAAAAGATATTTTTCTTTCTCCCCTCTGCAGATAAAGTGTGAGTTGCTATTAACCATTAAGGCCCTGAACGATTCACGAGACAGGGTGGTACAAACAATGCACCATGGACTTATACTCTACTTCCATGTGCTCCTGCTCATAGGACTGAATAGGTGGGCTGAATGGGTGGAGTTGCCCAGGGCCTTTGGAATGATCTACTGAAATCAAGTAAATGTCAATGGCATCAAGACCAAGTTTAATACTATGACCACAAGTCATGTGAAAACGCATGTTTTATAGATCATGGGCTTTCTGAGAAATTCATGAGAGAATAAATATTTTTAAAGAGTAAAAAAGTCAGCCCTCAAGTCTCCAAGGAATTTACATCTTCAGGAAAAATGAGAACAAAGATGGCAAACACACAGTATTTTTTTTAAAGGTTTTTGCATAGATAATAATGTCCACTAGATTTATGTGTCCATTAGATTACTCCCACCCCAGTTTTTTCCAGTTCTTTGAAGATAAATCTGGATTGTTTAATATCTTTGGATGAGATATGTTATAAAAATACTACAATTTTCCTAACAAGTATTCCAATGTTCCATCTTTATAAAAATAGTTTTAAGAACCTTTAAATATTACGTGTGGGTTTTGCCACTGTTTAAAACATATGCATGGAAACCACCCACAACCATCTGTGGACTTACTAATGTAAAAACAAAGCAAGATTTCACATTGGCTCTGAACTGCAGGTGCTGGTGTATAATTTATATTATTCGTGGTCTCTGCTTTCCTTCCATAGGTGTTCTAGAAAGGGTACAAATCCTGGGTAGCCTCAAAAGACCTATTACTTACAGACATCAAAGTACCCAGTAATGTACTCTCATTTCAATTCAGTGTTAAAAATAGACGTTTTAGAATTCAGTCTCACTTGAAATACAGTCAAAACCTCAACTGCTTTGTATATAAAGATTGCAAGGGAAAACACACACAAAAAGTTAACATGCTGATCTCTGGGTGACGGAATAATGGGTGATTTTTATTTTCCACCCTAGACTTGTATATTTTCCTAATCTTTCTAAATGAACCTAGGCTACTTTCATGATCAGAAAAAAACCCAGTATTTTTTAAAGGGGGGAATAATCAAAATATTATCTTATTTCAAAAAGAAATACTATTTCTTATTTTGAAAGTGAATCTCTGTGCTTCACAAAGTTGTAATAATACATATAAATAACTTCTGGTCTAAACATTAGAAAAGCTTGAGCCTTTTATGTTCCATAAAAGACACAGGACATAATAAAGTAGCTTTAAAAAACATGTTGATTAGTTTAGGAACTGTAGCGTTTTTTTTTTCAAGTTGACCATTTGTTATTACAGACCATCTCCTTTCCAGTGTAAATGAGTTAAATGTGCAGAAAACCTTAAAAATATGGCTTTGATTCTGTTGTTTCAAAAAATGTAAATCTGCACTTTGAAACAGAAAGCACTTACTCCCTTAAATTCTTCTTGGAAAAAAGGGGTATAGATTATAAATAAAATAAATTATAAACAAAAATAAACTCTAATGTACAACAACAGTTGAAAATTGGAGGAAAAAAACAAAAAACCTGGGCTTCTTTGTGCGTGTTTACACTGGGCAGTCCCTATTGTGCATTTGAGAAAGTGAAACCTACAACTTTAGGAGACTACACGTGCATTCCCCTAACACCTTCAGTCTCAACCCCTAAGGACAATTCAAGAGAGATGAATTTTTTTTTTAATTTTTTTTTCAATGTTTATTTATTTTTGGGACAGAGAGAGACAGAGCATGAACGGGGGAGGGGCAGAGAGAGAGGGAGACACAGAATCGGAAACAGGCTCCAGGCTCTGAGCCGTCAGTCCAGAGCCTGACGCGGGGCTCGAACTCACGGACCGCGAGATCATGACCTGGCTGAAGTCGGACGCTTAACCGACTGCGCCACCCAGGCGCCCCAAGAGAGATGAATTTTAAAACAAGAGAAGATTTTACCTACCTTTGATGCCAATCGTGATTTCAGGCCTAAGAACGAATAGACTGTGTTGCTTTCCTTTGATTCAAAAAAACTGTCATAATCCTGGAAAAAAGAGGAAGAGACAACAAACAAAAGCAAATAATTATTGGTATGTGGTGCTTTTGAAAAATTCTTTATGGAAACAAAAAAAATGTACCATTGCTTCATCCAGGCCAGGGAAGAGCTACATAAATCTACTGGATTTGCTCTGCTTGAGCATAAAACTTCTCTGAGTATGATGATGAGGTAAGCATGTTGTTAATGCAAGGCCTGTGATAGGACTGAAATGTAAAACACTGACAACACAAGGGAAACCGGAACATGTTCCCTTTCTCTCATGTGCTAAACTAACATTTGTGTAAAATCACTCTAAGATTTTACTCTAGTGCATCAATAGGAAAGGCTGACTCCCAATTCCATTCTTGATATTTTGTTATCTAGGGCTTTAAAAAAATCACTGGGTAAACACAAAGCCATAAAGGTCTCCATGTGTCAATGCAAGTGCTTCTATTCTGCTTTTGAAGTCTGCCACATTCTTTCAGACTATGTCTTCAGAGAGAATAAAAAGATCAAATAAAAACTAAAGGAAAGCAGATTCTCTATAACATTTATCTTTGCTTCAGACCTGGAATCATTTTTCTCTTTCTACTTTTACAAGAGAAGCCATCAAGAAATTCTGACCAATATGTTCATCAATTGTTTCTTTTCAAAAGTTTGCATATGTGTTATTGTATGGTTTCTGAGTTAGTGTAAAGCAGTCTTAAAATCTGTAAAAGTCCCTTTGATAACTTGACCCTAAGGATAAATATTGCAAGCAGAGCATGATCAGAATCATTTTTAGCCATCTGCTATATAACAGGTGCCTTACAATCAATACTTCATTTAATCCCACCACAGACCACCAGGTTGGAGGCTGGCTCAAAGCAAAGAAATATTGTACCCAAGTTTGATAGGCAATCTGTGAAAAAGCTGAGATTTGGGGCCAATTCTCCCTGACACTGAAATCGATGCTTTTTGTCTTCTGTGATGCTTCTTGGCCAAGAGGAAGCCAGCTATGGGGCACCCTGTATACCAGAGTCATTAAGCCCTAATGAATCCACTGCTGAGCCAAGCCAATGGCATCACAAGTACTCCTGAAATCTGTCTAGCAATCTAAATGAGAGACCATGACTTACAGAATAAAGATCTGCTTCTTGCAAAGGATGCCTCAGTGGTGAACAATCTTTTAACTATTTCACTCTGTATGGAGGCTCTCTTGTTCAAATGCTTTAGCAGGTTGAGTCTCATGTGGTTTTGAAGGTAGCTTCATTTTCATTCATGATCATCTCAACCTCGGGCCTTACACTCAATGTTCCTTCTGAAGATCTTCAGGTGGTAGCTCCCTCTGCCATTTAGGATCTGGCCCAATACAGTTCACCTCTAAGACAGGCCTTCCTTGACATGCTAAGAAGGAGCAATCCATCTGAAGAGGGAGGCTCAGCAAAAACCTACTTCAAAAATGGCATTTTAAGTTGAAATCTGAAGGATACGTACAGGTGACCAAGTAAAGCACTGGAACAGGGGATTCAGGACAGGGAACAGCACTGATGAAGAGCAAAGCTGGCAGGTCTGACAGGAATAAGCACAGGTCAGACTATATAAAACCAAGAAAAAGATTTTGAATTTTATCTTAAGTATAAAAGGAAATCACATGTGGGTTCCAAGTAAGGGAGCAGAATGATCTAGTTTCCTTTAAGAAAATAGAGAATTTAGGGGCGCATGGGTGGCTCAGTCGGTTGAGCGTCTGACTTCAGCTCAGGTCATGATCTCACGGTTTGTGAGTTCAAGCCCCGCGTTGGGGTCTGTGCTGACAGCTCAGAGCCTGAAGCCTGCTTCGGACTCTGTGTCTCCCTCTGTCTTTGCCCCCTCCCATGCTCATGCTCTGTCTCTCTCTGTCTCTCAATAATAAATAAACATTAGAAAGAAAGAAAGGAAGGGAGGGAGGGAGGGAGGGAGGGAGGGAGGGAGGGAGGGAGAGAGGAAGGAAGGAAGGAAGGAAGGACGAAAGAGAGAGAGAGAGAGAGAGAGAGAGAGAAAGAAAGAAAGAAAGAAAGAAAGAAAGAAAGAAAAAAGAAAGAAAGAAAGAAAGGAAAAGAAAGGAAGGAAGAAAGAAAGAAAATAGAGAATTTGGGGTGCCTGGGTGGCTCAGTCGGTTAAGCATCCAACTTTGGCTCAGGCATGATCTCACAGTTCAGGAGTGTGAGCCCCACATTAGGCTCTGTGCTGACAGCTCAGAGCCTGGAGCCTGCTTTGGATTCTGTGTCTCCCTCTCTCTTTGCCCCTCCCCTGCTCTCACCCTGTCTCTCTCTCTCAAAAATAAATAAATATTAAAAAAAAATTAAGAAAATAGCGATTTTAACTGTGTGGAGAATGGCTCAGACAGGCCAGCAAGAAGGAAAATGGGGAAAAGTCAGAAGAGTACTGTGGTAAATCCAGGTAAGATGGTGGCAGCCTGAACCAGACCAATGATGGTGAAGAGAGAGAGAGAGAAATGCAGACAGACTGGAGACATATTCTATATTCTGGAGGAAGAATTTTTCGTCTATGTGCTGCTGAAGCGAGTAGAAGGAGGAAGAATTGATCATACTCGACTCTGGAATTGGGGGACAGAGCTAGGGAGAATTAAGACTTGGAGCAGCTCTAAGTTTTGTAACTTGATGGGAAAGACCAGAGAAAAACCAGATGTAAGAGTAAGGTTGAAGTGGAGTTTCAAAATGTTAAGTTTGAGAAACTATATGAGACAGACAATCAAGTAAAGAAGACACCAACGGGGCAGTTGGAGGTTATGAGAGTTTCTAGTGGCTCTAGGATATTACAGATTTCATAGAATTTTACAGAAAATTTTACAATTTTTTGTAAGAAAAACCACGTCACAATTAATACAGGTCTAGCAGAACTTCTGCAAAATCCTATGAACCAAAAATGTTATAAGCATTCTTTGCAACAATGGTATTTTCGAACAGTTGAGTACCATTTCACTGATCAGGGTTCAAGAAATTATCCTGTTTGGTGCATCCTTTCTCTGCCTTTAACATCACTATGGCAAGCAGGTTTCTTACCTGAATATTGAATTGGATCCTCCCAACAGTTTACAAATTGTCATTAAGGTAATTAACTCCTTCCAAAGACACAAATATAAGATTTGGTAATTAACTTTAAAAGCAGAAAAACTGAGGGGTGCCTGGGTAGCTCAGTCAGTTAAGCATCTATTTGTCTCAGCTCAGGTCATGATCTCTTGGTTTGTGAGTTCAAGCCCCACATTGGGCTCCATGCTGACAGTGTGGAGCCTGCCTGGGATTCCCTCTCTCTCCCTGCCCCTCTCTCTGCCCCTCCCCTGCTCACTCTGTCTCTCTCTCAAAAATAAATAAATTTTTTTTAAATAAAATAAAAGCAGAATAATTGAAAGGAAGTAATTTTTCTTTATTTAAAAAAAATATTTTTTAACATTTATTTATTATTAAGAGACAGAGCCAGAGCATGAGCAAGGGAGGGGCAGAGAGAGGAGGAGACACAGACTCTGAAGCATAGAGCCCGACCCGGGGCTTGAACTCACAAACTGCGAGATCATGACCTGAGCTGAAGACAGACGCTTAACCGACTGAGCCACCCAGGCTCCCCGAAAGGAAGTAATTTTTAGAGTTAATGTTGGGACAGTGCCTGACACACACCAGGTTAAGCAGATGAATGAGTTGTGTTTGCTAATTAATGACTGATGTTACATGTTTTAGGTAATCTCATATGAGTAACATAATTTGAGTAAACCCTATTTCTACTCTATTATGGGTTTTTAAAAATTATGTAAATTTGTTTTCTGATATTTAAAAGTCTGATGAATCTCAAAGTGTAAAAGGTTTAATAAATTATTTTTTGTCATATTTAGGCAGAGTAGGTGATGGATAATTTAAAATCTAGTATTTTTTTAATTGCTAATACCTCCTTTCAGAGACAATACATTAAACAGTATGACTGAAATAATTTAAGAGCAAAATAGTATTAGAAATTTTAAAATCATGTCCTATTAAAGCTGTAAGTTCTTATGCCCTTCGGCATTCCCCAATATAAGAGAAAGATCCACTTTCTTATCAAATCCATTTCACTTATCAGGCTTCTATTTTTAAAAAATATATTAAGACTCTGTACTGCAAAGTTAAAAGCATTATATTTTAAAAACCCAATATAGGGGCGCCTGGGTGGCACAGTCGGTTAAGCGTCCGACTTCAGCCAGGTCACGATCTCGCGGTCCGTGAGTTCGAGCCCCGCGTCGGGCTCTGGGCTGATGGCTCGGAGCCTGGAGCCTGTTTCCGATTCTGTGTCTCCCTCTCTCTCTGCCCCTCCCCCGTTCATGCTCTGTCTCTCTCTGTCCCAAAAATAAATAAACGTTGAAAAAAAAAAATTTAAAAAAAAAAACCAAAAAAAAAAAACCCAATATAAAGTTTCTAAATAGGCTTGCTGAATTCCTTATAGTTAAAGATGCTTTCTCTAAAGTGTTTGTAAATACACCTGCAAATTACACAATCAACCTTCTATAACTATAAAATATAAAGATCAGTTAAAATCATCTTTGGAAAAGGGTACAAACATACAAAGCATATTCAAGATAAAATCGCCCAGTTTTAGAAGCTGGAACATTTTTATCACACATAAGACAAAAGATGAAAAACTCACGTTGTTTTTAGTGCTAACTGCCTATGAAAAGAGAAATTTCTGGACTATATAGGTATGTTATCAACATAACTGAGCACTGGTACTAACAGACCATCTATCTAAATGCTGCAATTTTAAGAAAAATACGGCAAGCTAAACAGCTGTTAAGAAGTGGGAGGCGGGGGGAGTTTCTGTTACCTATACTTCTGTTTGCATTCCAGGAAAAACCAATGTTAAGAGAATTTATGAGCTCATGATAAAATTTACAACAGGTAAAATGCACAATGGTCTCATTCTTCCACAGAGCTTACTTAAGTACATTACCCGCACACCATGATTAGACTATTATGGACTAGACAAGCATTTGAGACAAAGACCTT